TACCTCCCCGTCCATGAGCGCCAATAACCCCCTCCCTGAGAACGACACATCACAGGAGCTCCTCAAACCACTTTTTTAACCGGCCGAACCGCGTCTTAATAACAGCTGACGAACACTTGGAGCGGGCGACTGCTAAAACCGGCTCGGCCAGAAATTGCTAAAGCTCGGCTCGGCCAGAAACTGCTAAAGCCCGACCCGACCACCTCAGCGGGTTCGGAAGTCAAGTTGCAACGCCCCGAGGTAAAAGCGGGGAAGGGCAGGGGCCTGGATAAGGTGGAGAGGTAAGAGTCAAGGTTGGAGGATTAGGGCTCAGGTTCATTACAGAACTGGAGAAAAGGGGTTGCTAATACAAGCTGAACTCGTTTGGAGAGTGTGAACTGGAAACAGAGGTAGGGTTTATCAGGGAAAGGGGTTACTTTTTTTGCCACCATAACGCCGAATTGGCAATTCCTCGAGACGCACCCGCCTACCTCGCCAAAGGTTCAGATCAAGCCTTGATTAGTACCACACTGTGCCGGCGCTGAATCATCGCCAATTTTTCTCAATTTTGATATTATCAATAATCATGTTATTATCGACGATTATTTAATGAAAAATAAACGAACAATCAAAAAACAAGCAAAAAAACACAGCTACCAAAAGAGGAAAAACGATTTTTTTGCCCCAATTATTCCGATTTTGCAATGTCAAAAGTACCGAACTGAAGTCTATGTAAAGCCGAATGGATGAGATTTCAAAAGGTGCCTACAGGGGGCCTACAGCTGTCGCGGAAAACCCGCGAAAAGCCGGCCAAGAAGCCATCACAAAGAAAAAGGTGCATTTTGCCTTGAAAGGCAGATACACAGTAGATGTGCTGCTAGGCTGAACCTGAAGCATAACCACTGGTATAGTGGTAACACACTGCGTTCGGACGTGAACGGGAGCGGTTCGATTCCCTTCCGGTCCAGAACAATTTTTGGAGAAAAGTTTCCGCTCATGACAGCAGTGACTGCATATCGGTTTCTACCATAAACATACTTAAATTATCATTGTGATAGCAGGTGAAAGTAAAAGAAAACACGGAGAGATATTTAATCAATGCACAAGCACAACTACTTTGGAGTAATAAACCTTCAAATTTTTAGATTGGAAATTTATTCATTTTCACTTGTAACGCATTTTCAAGTGCTGAAATATTTTGTGATGAACATTTCTCGAAACAATAGCATAAAGCGACGAAAACACGTAGCAAAACACAGTTACTTAAACGCATGTACATTCAAAGACAGACACAAACAAAAACATATTGAAATAGACATACACAACATACATTCGAATAATAGCTTTATTACAAAACAAGGATAAGGCCCTGCGCAATATTTTTATTTCTAATAAATAAATAAACAGGAAAAGCCCGTAAATGATATATAAATTAATGCAAAAATTCGCATATTTGACCTCAGCGAATTAAGTTTCCACTTAGAAAAACGAAGTACCGCATAAAAGAAGAAATGTAAAAACTGATTTCTCTTCTTTTTCCGCTTCAAATATTTCTCGGCAGAAATATCTCGGGCACTACTGCCCATCTAATATTAAAACAACAGCATCATTCGCAAAAAAGCTCTGTCCCAAAGTCTGACCCTTTTCTAGGCATCAAAAATTTGAAAGTTTTTTCGGAAAAGTTTTTCAGTTTAATTTCGCCAAATTACGAACAAAACACAGCTTTTTCAAGGCCCCTCAACAAGTCCCTAAGGTCGATGGTTAATATTGGCAAATTAATGTTATTCAGATCACGCAGAAAGTAAAATACAAAGAGTCCTGATGGATGACAAAAATAAAAAAGCCCCATCATTTTGAAAAATAATCAGTGGAAGGTCCACTACATACCCAAAATACCATGACCCTCCGGGCTACCAGTATGCTTATCAAAAGTCAGCTACATTAACGCCGGGCGCATCAATGCCAATTTCTTCGATTTCGGCCTGCATACCTCCAGTTAGTACCCATTTTCTGTTCGATATATGTGCGTCGTTTTGTCAAGAGCTGCCCGAATTTACTCTTTCGCACGTACTACTGTCTAAAAAAGCGGTTGTCGGCAAGGCGAGCAACATGCTCGGCTCATCGGATTTTACTTTCTCGCGTGGTTGTAATGACATCTTGCACACATTTCACTACCACATATCGGTAAAAAAATGGAACCAGAGCTTTATGGCAGAACTGATCACTTCTAATGCACACCGGATCGGCAGTTACAACACAACACCAGGACTCACCAAACCTTTATCCATAAAGCGTCTTCTTGCGAAACACATCCACCACTGCAACACATCTCCCAGCAGGTCATTCATTCACTTCAAAATGATAAATTTCCAAGAATTCATTACCAAAAAATAATCCAGCATTATTGTGGGTACCCTATTCAGTATTACTTCAATAGAACTTTAGTCCATTCAGTAACAGTGTTATTGTTTCACTGAACTGCACTTTGGCGCCGTTGGCTCAGCTAGTAAAATTTTTCAGTAACGATTATTATGTGATGCAAAAGGAAGATGGTACTAACAGCAAGGAAACGAAGATGGTGGCTAAACCCCCTTCGCCCTGCCCAGTTGCCCTTCGGTTCCCTGTGATATGCAAATGTCCCGTCTCTTGACTCAATTTCCTTCCTTCGTGATATTTATTGCGGTGATCAGGAATGAACGGAATTATTTTGTGGCATTAAAAAATTATGCGGCGACAGATTGGAGCTGCTGGCGGTTTTTCCCGCGATTTGTGATTTTTTTTTTGTGCTTGTACCAATAAAGGATTGTTTATGTGCTTTCCCACAGCCGCATAGGCCCTCCTCTTTGTTACATGTGACCGACGCTGTATTATCTCGAGGTCAATTTGCTGGCGATCTTACACCCCTTTCCCCAAACTTGCCCTCACTACCCCATTTCTTTTTTTTTCATCAAAAAATCTACTGTATAATATCACATTTCCTTCAATGCATGGCCTTACAAATCACTTACATGTAGTCTTTTTACCCTAATCCAGAAGGTTTCCTCTGTAGAAAAAGAACGTACCAGGACTTACGCGTCCAGAGATCTCAAAGTACATTAAATTCACGTGCAGAGAGTGGCTGTTGTACTCCTCAAGCATTTTGAATCCAGATTTCCAGGAAGTTTCTATGACTTACTTTGCTTGGCCTTTCATTGCTTTCTCCGTAAACATGCTCGAATAATCGTACTCCTAGCTCCTGACGAAGTTGCAGGAGATAAGCACGCATCAAATCTGTAACCATATATGCAGCTAACAGGGGAAAAAAATGCTTAAGGAGCCTGAAATCCTATGTTTAGACAATCAACAATCAAGAATAACCGTCGCTAAAGCAAACACAAACACCCAAATACTCAGTTGTTCTAAGAGTCCCAAGGAAATCCTCCCTTACCCCTCCCCCCCTCGGAAAAAAAACCCTTATTCTTTAACGTTCTCGAAATGGTGCAATGAAAAATTAGGATTGCTTCAGCCAAATTCCTTCGCCATGCATTTATTTAGGTAGCGTTGGCCAGGAAAACTTTTTAAATTTTGGTAAAATGGGAAAACTTCGCACCCAAGCTTCAAAAAATTCTCGTGTATGTGGCAGTAACCAAAATCAATCACTTACCTTCCTCATTCTTATTTGTTGGCGCCTTGTACATACTATTAAGTGGGAAATCTGCTTCGCCTGGTATTGGAAGATGATGACTGAGTGCAAGCACTGACAAATCCTTCATTGCCTGTGATCTAGTTGGACTCTGAAAATCATCCCTTTGAATGAATCCATGGAACTTCTCCAGACAAATCCAGCCCAAACCTTCAGCGTAAAACTTCCCCGAGAATGTAAAAAAAGTAAACTTAACAGGCAAGGCACCGGAATGACAACGGCAAAAAATGACACTTTAGAGACCTCAAAAAAAGATGAAAAACACAGACTGTACAAATAATGATAAAAAATGGAGATAATGATAATAACTGATAAGAAATCAAGTACAAATAGCTTGGTATAGATGTGCTCGAAGAGCGTGAGCATCCCAGTAACATCATTAATAAGGAATTCTCCCAAAATACGCAATTTGTTCTTTTACAACGAATTAATTACCTTTTGCAACTTCCTTAAGCATTCGGAGATGTAGAGGGTGAGATATATCAGTGTACGATCGGCTGGTCCTTTGATTTCAAATTCACGGAAGAAAATATTCGGCTTGAAATAGGCAAGAGCTTCATCAATTATATCTTCTCCATCATCTGAAGATCATTTAGCAATAGGATTGCTTCATGGTACCGATAAACCCTTTTTGATAGTACTGCGAAAAAAAAAACATAAAATTTCAATCGTTCTTATCGCATTTCTATTCATTATCACGATTTTAAGCCTATTATCATGATATTCCATCCTAACAACAATGTCCTAGATGTCTAAACTTTTTATATCGGTGCAAAAGAAAAATGCAAAATCTCTGGCCTATGGTATGATGCGATAAAAAACCGTCACAAAGCAGGATAAACCCATTTTTTGTTAAAAAAAATTACGAAAAAACCATTTTATAGCAATCGTTTAAAAAAAAAATACGTAACGAATAATGTATGAAAAATATATAGCAAAATTTCAGAAATGCTGATTTACTTTAAAAAAAAATCGAGCCTATCTACTTAACAAAAAAATAAACAACTCTGGCAACTTGCCAGTTCGCGGGGCTGGTCCCTTGAAATTTGTCCGTATCGGTAGGATTGCCATATTTCCAACCAATGTTTTCGCATCGGTAAATTTGGAATGATAAGCCTTAAAATGATGCAACAAGTATTAATTCGATTATATCGACATCAATATTAGATACTTGAACCAGCTGGTAGTCCAGATCCGACCCTGATTGATCAGTGGTGTATTATCGATGAATAAATCATTTTCTTTTTTCTTATTCATTTTATGGCTGCTTTGATCAATGCTACACCGCACCGGGTGATCAGCCTTTCGGCAATCCTGATGTTCCTTTTATCGCCTGAACGCAATGTACCGCCTTAATGACTTTCCCGATCGAAGTGTTTTGGCAAGACTTTATGAGGTCTCTAGTATGATCAAAAAAAAATTCAAAAATTAAAAATCGGTATAACCAATTAAATTCAAAAAAAAAAAATTAAATTCAATTAATTTCAAAAAATGGTCAATTAAATTTTTCTCGGAAATTAAAGATTATCTACACAAAATTTATTAAAAATTCACCAAATGAACAGAAAAACAAATATATTAAAGCAATATATTTTATTTATATTCAAAAAAAAAATTACCGGCATCGTTTGCGGCCACACGTGGAAATTTCGACTGACCGCTTCAGAATTTGAGTACCGGTCTGAAATTTAATCCGATCAGAAATGCATCTACCAGCTTACAATGAATCTCAGCCTTCAACGCTTTCTTTTGTATTAAATCTATGAAAAATGGCTTAAATTTCTATTTTTCACTTGAAAATTACGCAGTGTCATCCGGATTTAGCTCAGATAGAAAATTTAAGCTATAAGGAAAGATGTGGGCTGATTGGATTTAAAAAATTGTCGTCTTTCGCTTTTCTTTTCCATTAGGCACTATGACCGTCATACTGACGAGGTCCTGTTGCAGTGTTGAGTTAAGACGTATATGACTTAATGGATCGAAACGTCTTATCTTACTTTTACCCCTTTTCCCCCATACTATTCTTTCATGCTGTAAATCTATCGTGCCTTCGCTATTTAGGCTTCCCAAGGTCAACCTGGTTGCTATAGTCGGCTTAAGAGGAATATAAATGACCGAAAAACAGGGGACCAAAGGGGAGTACCCTGGTAATCTTATGCTAAGAAATCGTAAGAATAAAACGGCTTTAGCACTATTTCAAAATAATAATATGCTAATAATTTGCCAGCATAAAACTGATCAGTAAAATCAAATAAAAAAAACGCTGTTTTTTTTTCCGATAAAACATTTATCTCCATATACAAAGAAGAATCAATGGAAAAAACATTAGAAATTTTGGTCGACCAAACTACAAAAGGCGCTTAAACCGTTTCGTTCTTCTATGAACTGATAATTACAATGATATTAATGAAAACTGATAACTAATAATACCAAAAATAAACAACCGCTGACTAAATTTTTCAGGAAAATTCGCTAAAACTGCTAATAATTAAGCCTATGGGACAAAAACTTACATAATATTATACATATCAAGTTATTATACAAAACCCACCCACAACGAATTATTTTTCCCCACGATAAAAAGAAAAACCAACAAAAATCGAGATTTATGGAATTTACGAATACTGAATTTCTTGCTTCACCCGAAAAGAATCAAGATTCCCAACTCTAGTACCTGTTAAAAAAAAAGACTCCCCCGCCGACTCTTAAAATCCTATCGAAAAGACTCCCCCGTCGGCTCTTAAAATCTAAGGATAACGTATTCACAGGTAAAACTTTACAAGTAGCATTATAGGCACTTGGAACGAAATGTTATCAATGCCAGCAGCAAAAGCAACGAGAACATATTTGATGGAAAAAAAATACAGTCACACATATATACCCGCATACATATGCACACAGATACACAAATGCGTATGTACATAAACATTTTCTAATGCGTAAACTATAGGCTTAAAATTTTGCATTTCTAAACCAAAAGGCAATTCTGGGCCTTCAAAACAGAAAAATCTGATAAGTTGCGCACAAGCATTCAACAGTTGCATTAGTACTTGAACACAGCTTTCACTAGATAATAGCATCTACTGTGTATCTGCCTTTCAAGACCGAGTTGAGGGCCTGCTATAAATGCACCGGTGCGCGGGCGGATCCCAGTAATAGCTCGAATATGTTGGATCTCCATACCGTTTTGGATCGCGCAGGATATCTCGAAAACTCGACAAATCCACTTACAATGCAAAGTAAATTAATAGAAATCAACTTCGAAATCTCTCTCAGTAAAAACAGCACTCGAGCTATAATCAAATTTAGGCTCGGTGTTACACCAGATGTTAAAAATAGGCCTTTTTTACCTTCTCCCTCCCCTCCCCCCCTCCCCTGCCCCTCGCCACTGAGATATAAAAGAGCTCGAGCTTCCGCATTACTTTGGAGTCCCCTTAATACACTGAATGAATAATGCACTGAAACGAGTCTTCCCATCCCGGGTCTGTTCGGGGCGGGGTGGATATAAACTAGGCGGTCCTAAGCTGTATATCTTCAACTTCGTACTTTTTTCTCTACTATGTAAGAGCATCACTTTTCGAAAGGACGTCTGAACAGTCGTTTTTTCTCTTCCTCTGACCCCCCCCCCTCCTCTCCCTTCCGCACCGCCCCTTTCTTTTACCTCCAAATAACTCTCACCGATGAGGTCAAACGGCAAAAAAAGCATCATAAAAGCAAATTTTCTTAACAAACTAACACATCCTACATGAGAAAAAAAAATAGGAAAAACCATCGGCACTTAATCATTCGTCTTTTTTGCATCACCGGCAGCTGCTATCTGTTCCAAGAACGACTGCTTTGTGATGTTAATATATTCCACCGAGGCAACAGTTAATGAAGAGATCCACCTTTCCAGAGCTTTGAAACCATCTGCAGCAAATGTGAACGTTCTTCCGGTCCTATAATTTAGAAAAAAAAATCGCCTTTTTTTGAAAAAAGAAGTGAATTCACAGGGAAAATTTTTAAAAAAAAACGCATTCTTTTATCCGAACATAAAAATAAATTAAAATTTTTTTTTTCGGTCTTATTACCAAAAATATCAAAACCGCTTGAACAATTGGCATGAGAATCCCATATTTATATCATCCTAGTGATCATTTTCACTTTCCCTCAGGCAACCTTTATTAAGGCGCGATGCCCATGGTTACTGGATAAAGGGATAATATTCACTGCTCATTGTATTTTACTTCCACATTCGGTCGTAATGATATCCTGCATGCCGCTTAAATAACGGACAGTCTGATTGTTTATATGGTCATGATCAGAAAATTCACGTCAAAGTCATACAGATAAGAAAAGCACGTGCATCAGTACCTCTGCTAGTGTAAACTTATCATAAAATAATTTGTTCAGAATATAATATCAATCGCTATCGTAAGTTTATCCGATTCAAAAACAACAAAATTACACTGTTATCTGAGATTTTCTACGAGATTTATTAGAAACTGTGAAATTTCTTACGTTTTTAGCACCACTTGGAAGGAATACAAGTGTCCAGTTGCGTTATCATCACACAATTCTATGTAGCAATCTTCCAGTATCAAAATTATACTCGGCGCTTCGATGCCAACATCCGTCTGTTGGCCGAACAAGAACAACAGATTCGCTTTCAGGATCCCATAGAGAGAGCGCCAACGACCATCCTAAACATGTTTTTCGGGTTAAAAAAAAAATTGGTGAGCAAGGGATCGTTTTTGACCAAATAAGTCAAGATGATCGGAATCCCACCGGGTAAGAAACAAAAAAAAATCAGCTTTTATTTGAATAGCAGTAAGAAAAAATCACAATTAGAGGAATTCAAAATTTGGTAAGAAATGGTAAGAAATGTATACGACTTAATGGACTGAAACATTTCTTAATAATAAATTTGCAAATTTTCTAATTTTTTTGATTCTCATTTCCTACCTTCTTTTTTGATTCATTTCCTTCTTTCATCCGTTGTTAATATACCTTTCTATTTCTAAAGCTGCAGTCTGGAATTTTTCACTTCCTTGCCGGTATTCTTGCACTTCCGGTCAAATTCTTTCTATCTGCCGCAAGCAACACTTTAACTACTCCAATTCCCAAATTTAAATTAACTTTCTACACTAAGGGCAGAGAGATCCTGCAGTTCTTCTCAAGGAAGATGTCGAAGATGAAAAGATAACGGGAGAGTAGAGGGGCGAGGGGAAGCGGGGAACAGAAGGGAAGGGGAAAGAAGCGACGAAAAAAAGGAAGGCACCAATTCTTCAAAATGTCCTGATACCAAAAACATACAAAATGTCCTCCTGACAGGGAGAGTGGAGGGAGTGAGTGAAGGGGGAGAGGAGGGAGGGGGGAAAGAAGCGTTTGGAGAAAGTTCTTAGAACGGGAGAATGACACGCGGGGTAGGAAAAAAAGGCACCAATCCCGAAGAATCCCCCAGTACCAAAAATATACAAAAACGTCCTCCTTACAGCCATTGCAGATATCTCATATTAGTGATATTACTGGAATGCTCCCAAACGCTGGGCACAGCTATGTCAAAATATTCAAAAATTAACTAAAATTTCATAATTTCCAAAAAAAGAACAAACAAACCTGTAACATGAAGAGTGCACCGGCAAGTTTCGTCTCGTACAAATCATCGACGCACAACTGCGCTAATGCCCTTCCATTGGCTAACATTCAAAGA